ATAATGCTATTTACAACCTCTTTAAAATAATAGATTTAAGATTGCTTTCGGTTTAAATTTAAATGCCCTACAGTCAGAAACGTCAAGTTAAAAACTCAACTTTATCACTCTCTCTTCTTCCCCATTGTACTCGTATTTAATGACATCTGGCTTTGTTGTGTGAAACTTCTTATAGTGGACAATGCACCTGCTAAAAAATAACATGCAAGGCACTTTTTAATACAGTGCAGGAAAAGATTTCAAGTCTGCATAGTAACAAAATATCTGTCAGCCACCATCACCAAAATTTAGTCTAACACACACATGCACAATGGCTGTGGGTGCATGTCCTGCCATTTCAACTGCAAATGTGCTCATGGTGCAACTCATCTGATCTCAAAAGCTAAACAGTGTCCATGTGGCCTGTGAGAGCATTCAAAACACAGAATAAGACACGAAGTGCAGAGAAACCCTGGCTCCTGGAGTTCTGGCTGAAGGGAGCTTTTAAAGAGCAGCTAAAACAGTTTTTCCAAACATAATGTATTGAAAGTGCCTGAAGGAGCAGAGGGTGCAACTGGCTGTGTGGTGCCACAGGGGCAGTCAAGGAGCAGACTGTTTTGGAAGGGTTAAACTGAGGCTGAAATGCTGCTCAAGCAAGCCAGGTAACTTCTGCCTCCTAGATGCATCTCTCTCTCTATATATATGTAACTATATATACCTATATGCCTCATTGCCCACCTGGTCTCTCCTGTATGCAGCAGATGAATGCCTCATTACCAGATTCCTCTGCTTGCTTCCCAGTAGACTTAAATTACCATGTTAAATAGGATAATAATAAACACTGGCCTTTAACTGCAGCACATCCTTGTTCACCCAGCAGCCTCCCTCTAATCTGATAAAGGGTCTGTAAAAGGCTGCAAGCAAACACGGAGTTAGTTGTTACACAGGTGCCTCTCCCTGTTTCTGCAGTGTGATTCCTATGGCAGCACAAAGAGATTCAGGCTGAAAAATCTGGTTTAGGAGACCTTGATCCCTACAAAAATTATCAGGTATTGAAACAGAGGCAAAGTGCCAAAAGGACATAGTAGATCTGGCCCAAGACTCTTCTGCTGAATTTCAAAAGGCAAAAGTAGCTCTGTGCCATCTGCTTGCTTCAGCACTTGGACTTCAAAACCAAAGTAGCCAAGGAAATCTTTCCGGCTTAGGAAAACAGTGGGGGGGAGGAGAGATCTTGGTGGCAGTGTATGCTGCCTTCACACAGAGCTTGCTGCATTTGAGGTATTAGAGAAGCTCTTTTTAACAACTACCTTGGAAAAAAGTCATCTATCCACCCAGAATAAATTATACAAAGGGAACAAGCTGGATTGGGAACAGAGGGCTGATCCAGACTTTGAATCCCCTTAGCCCCCAGAAGCCAAAAGTGCCATTTATTTCAATGGTACAGAATTTCCTGTGCTGTTTTTTTCTCTTTTTTTTTTTTTTTTGTATTTAGTTTACCTTAATCCCCTGGATTCCTCTTGTTGCAGAAAGAGGGAAAAGCCTTACAAACCAACAGAACAAAACAAAGTCAAATTACTTTGGTGAGCTCTTTCACACATAAAAAGATGCAGAGAAATGCAAACTCTGGAAAAGATGAGGAATTTCCTTGAACGCAGCCATTCCTGAAGCTCCCAATTAATAAAGCCAAGCTTCAATGCTTGAAGTAGTATCAATATATCTGTGGAATTAAGATGGCTTTCCTCTGGTTTTCCACAGTGAGGTAAATTTGGCTTTCTACCTGTCTTCCTCCAGTCTCAGCTTTGCAGAGCTGGCAAGCAATACAAAAGAGGAGGAAAGACATGAACTAGGCCGTCTGTCGTTGGAGGGTATGAAAGACAGTCTGAATAACAGCAGGAGAGAGAGAGAGGCAGCCTATGGTTATTTTTGACAGAATTGGGAGAGACTCAGATTGCAGCTTCATAAACAGTTCATCAGAGAAAAATTCGGTCCAAATTAGAGGAGCCCCTTTGGCCAAGCTCACAGAAATACACAACCCTTGTCTGAGAAGAGAGAAATCTTTCAAAAATCAAAATGCTTTTCTTGAAAGAGCAAAACCTAACTGCTTCCCCCACTCCCCCCCGTGTGATGTAGTAACACCAACTTGCATTCCTGTCACTGCAACTTGTGGCTTGCAGCATATTCAGAAAAAAATTTCTGTATGACACCAGGCTGTGAATGGTCTGCCTGACACATTGTCCCAGCCATGCAATGAAATGAAAAGTGGACTTTTCTCTACCTCATCTAACCACGAGGTCCCCTTGATGGACCATTCTACAAAACTGGAGGTGATACAAAGGGTCAGCAGGCAGAAAAATGCCTGGCAAAACGCAATTCCATCCAGCTCAAATTAAATAAAAATTGTTGTTTTGTGTGGGTATTTACACAGAAAAGGAGCATGGAATTTCACTCCACCTCAGACATGTGATTTTTGGTGTTGTCCTGTACAGTTCCAGGACTTGGACTCTGTGATCCTTACGGGTCCCTTCCAGCTCAGGATATTCTATAATTCTATGACCTCCAAACAATAAATGAAAACGCTGCTTCTTTTTAAAATGCTAGTTTACTAGTATAGGTGAAGTATTTCTCATGTATTGTGATAAAAAAAGACTGTAGGATATTTCTCGAGGCAATTTATCAGTTTGTTTGTTTCTAGCATTCTTAACAATCTCTCACACAGAACCCTTCGTGCAACTGGATTAAGAAAATAAAGATCATTCCTAGTCAAGAGATATGCACAAAACTCAAGAGGTTTCTAGCAACCTTGCTGGCAGGTTCAGCCAGGAGGAAGGATAGAGCCAGCATGGAGATACACTCCTCCAGAGCTTCCGAGGGAAAAGCTGACCACCAGAGGAGCTTGCTGCTAGTGCCAGAGAAAAGTTAGTCTGAAGGTTATTCTGCCTGTCTTCAGGATTAATTTCATTTACTCATTAATTAACACATAATGACTGAAATGACAAGCATAATCTCTGCATGGCTGAAAAGAGTCCAAGCAAAAAAGCATCCCCAAAACCCAGCTACCTTGCAAAAAGAATATTGTATATGGGGACTACAAACATCAATAATTAGCCTACAACGATTTGCATGATCTATGCTTCATCCTTATGCATTCCAGCTGCCTGATGGACAGGTACAGTGATTCCCAGAAATTGGTATCAATGGGTTTCTTCTGTCTAACCACAATATCATTCTCACTTCATTTACTGCTTAGTGGGAAGGCATTGCTGTGACCCAGGAATCAGCTCCTTCCAAATGGACGAGTCTCAAGTTCAGCACTTTAGTGGTTTAAACTAAGGAGGAGTTTGCTCATCCATAGCGGCCTGGACTGCAGAAAATCCAGTTGTTTGACCTCTTAATGCTCTCCTATACAGCATTACAAGAAAAAGACATTTGGTGAGGGCTCTGTGCCAGCACAGTAAGGGGGTACATGCTACAATACATCAATCCTGGGAAATGGGGAGGGAGGATGGGCTGGAAGCAGGATGACACTAAAACACTGCAGCCAGAAATACCTTCTGCTTCTGAATTACAGAACCATGGAAAGCATGGGGTTGGAATGGACCTTAAAGAGCACCTGGTTCCAGCCCTCTTGCCATGGGCAGGAGCTCTTTTCACTAGAGCAGGTTGTTCACACAACATAACCTTGAACACTTCCAGGGATGGGGAATGGGAAAGAGTGATCTAGTACAGACACTTGATTAGCAGGAAGGTACAGTGAGCTGGACCCCCTCCCTGACACTGGTGTGAGACCAATGCATGAAATCTTTTAACCAGAAGTGGGAGATGCAAGCAAACCAAAATAAACCATAGTCACTCAAAGCACCCAACTGCTTAAACTGGGCAGCAAAAAGAAGGCACTGAGAGGCTCCTCTGCCAGTACCAGGGCAGGGGAGATATGCTGAGCCTTGGCAGTGCTTTGCCCAAAAGTCCAGGAGCAGTGAGGATGTGCTGGGTGCCTCCCATAACAGCAACCACCTCTCACCTCCAGCGAGGGCTGCTTTGCTCTGTTCACTTTGCTGTGAGCCCACAAAATCATTCTGTGATGCTCTCCATAGTATGTATGCTCTGAAGGTTTTTAGAATCAGTGGCAGGAGTGTAGTGAGAAGGAATAACTGTCTAGCAACCTTACAGCCAGGGGCACCACACACATCCAGTTCTGTCTCTGAGCTACCCTAATTATTTTTAATGGTAGCAACGTTTTCATGCACCAAACCTGAATGAAAATATAGAGCTAGGTAGGGAGGAAAATACATTCTGTGAAACAAAATACTCACTTTTAGTTTACATGTAAGCACGTGTCACACTTAAACAGCTATAATACACAAAACTCTCATATGCCTAAATAAGCACAGATATATGTAGGGAAAGGAAGGAATATAGTCAGGGAGAAATACTTTACACATGTATAGAAAAATGCAGTAAGGTAAACAAACCCTTTCATTTAGAACAATATCAGCGCCAAAAAAATCCTTTAACATGACTGCAGAAAATAAATCAGATTTTGGAAACAGGACAGGGTGACTATTTGTAATTTTTATTGCTGCTGGAGCAGTGATGTGGCAAGAACCCACCACTATCATTTTTCCCTTCTGTACCCTTAAAATAATTCCCACCTGGGGTGCAAAGAGAGGACACAAAAGGAAATAGAAAATTATATTTTTCATGAGCTAATCCTGGGAAGCAACCGCTCAGGTTTCCATATTTTTGGCAATGATAATTTAAACAAGGGGAGCAATTATTCTTATTTTTTGCAGTTGGAATGAATGCTTCCAGATAACAGACAATTAAACTTCAGTTTAAGAAGAGGAGGAAGCAATATCCGATAGGATTCAGAAGTCCTCTCCTCTTAGGACTGCTGCATAGCTCAACACAGCACACTACAAAACAGAGAGCCCAGATGCAAACCTCTTTGGAAATGCTGAGGGCAAGCAAGATCACTGGGAAAACAAAGCAAACTGAAAGCAAAGAGAGCATAACTACTGTACCTTTACTTTGGGGAGGGTTCTGACTTCTGTCTCGGAGAACATTAATCTGGTAGACAGCTCCATAAGGCTCAAAAAGTTCTTTTAATTCTTTTTCTGACCACGAACGGGGAATCTGTCCAACAAACATCTTAATGGCATCTGGGTCTGGTTGGTCTGAATGATCCAAAGCTCCATTCATCTTGTTAGCTGTGCCGTTACTAGAAAGTGGAAAAAGAGATTAAAAAGAGAAGACAAGTTAGGAGACTACGCAGTTTTCATGTGCACTAGATGCAGAAGATGATGTCAATTGGCACAAAGCAGAAAAAAAAATTCAGCATTTAATTAATAGCATAAGTATTACGAACAAAAAACAATGCTATTACATTTTTCATTGAGTCTGGTTTTCTCTGCAGGCTGCTGCTTAATGTCATTATATAAGATGAGAGCAGCACAACACAACCCGGGACTTGTGCGTTTTAAAGCAGAGAATAGTGGCAAATAAGTGCAGGTTTCTCTCCATGGCTGTTGTAAACAGAACTGCAGTGAATTCTCACTAAACTGGCTACTGGCAGAAACAAGGCAGTGCGTGTGTCTGTGTGTGTGTTTTGTAATAAAGTCACATGAAAGGAGTATGAAACACTTGGCAATCTGTCAGATGACTAATGCAAGATGCCAGCAATGAATCTGCAGATTGTGTGAAGCATCCATGTGTGCATCAAATTAGTATGATATTGCCTAGAATGGAAAACACTCCAGCTATGTGGCTGGTTGCTGTCGATTAGTTGCCTATGCTCTTTAAAAAGGAAAAGCAGTCTGGAGAGACCCAGTTTAAAGCACATTGTTTATTGCTGCCATAAGAAAAAAAAAAAAAAAAAGGCACAATTCAAAAAGAGACCGCAGCGGCAAAACTGCTTACTTCGTTGTGGAAATTAAAATGCTGCTTCAAAAAGTTTTTTTTTTCCCCTGCAAAAGGAGATCAAATTTTTGAACACTTTCACCCTCTGTAAATTCTTAGTGTTTCTGATCTCCAGATGTACATTCTACATCCAAGTTCAAAACAACCACACTTTTGCAGGGAAAAAGAACTTTGGAACAAAAAATAATGTGACCTGGGAGACAAATGATAGATCTTGGTTTAGGAGGATTTGTACTCTAACACAGAAAATTAATAATTTTAAATACTGAACAAAAGTAAAAATACATGACTCCATTCCCCCTCCCCCCTCTTGCATTATTGATAATTAAGGACAGTAGTTTCAACTAATTACTTGGCTAGAAAACCCAGAAGTGCTGATGATTTTTGGATGTTTCTGTTTCAAGAAAGAACACTAATGATGCATGAATTTTCAAGCATCCCCCCATCTTTCCACCAGGGAGAGGGGGCAAATGGCCTGTATGCAGCAGTGTCAGAAGCTGATCATGGCAGAATTCAGGCATTTCAGAGCCACCTGCCACTTTCAAAAAACTTGGCTTTAATTAGAATTTCTCCGTTTGATGATTGTTCTGGAGTGAATGCCCACCGGAGGACTTGGAAGAGCTCAGAATCTGCACAACCAGATGAAAATCATATTTTACATGTGAAAAAAAAATAAAATCTAAGAGTGGTGAGAAGAAAACAGCCCTGTGCAATTCCCCTGTCTCACAGCTATAACCTGTGTGAAGACAAATTATTTAGTTTCATGTGTTTCATCTCCTTGAAAGCATAATTCGCATTAATATGCCAGTATTAACTTTAGCACTTTCCCTGCTTATGGAAAGGAAGGAGAAAGTTATATTAAAAGCACATTTTACACCACCAGCAAGAAGTTTGATCATCCCTTGTGAAGTGCTTTCAACACGGATCAGCACACAAGAGCATTTATCACACTCATAAATGGCTAAAATTCCTATCTATCCTAGCAGGAATCTTGCCTGAATAAGAGACTCTAAAATTTGGTCCAAACTTTTGCATTACGTTTCATGTACAAATGCTCTTCATTTTGAATAAGTTCTACAGGTCACAAGTTCACCTGCAGAAATTGTGACTTCTCCAGGCCTTAGAAACTGCATTTCCATACAAAGATAACACTTAAGCCATACTAAGCCAACCATCCAAACAAACACCCCCCTAAAATTGCTAAGAAACAGAAAAACAATGACTGAGTCACTTCAGTCCCACTTAATGGGAACAACTTTCAAGACTTTCATGAAGCACCTATGTGACACTTAAACCTCTTGAAAATCACTCCACTATTTCTTTTCAATTCCTATTCCTTTACGTAAAACACAATCTGTCAAACAACCTCCCTGCTAGGGAGGTTGAAAAATCCCTGACCCAGAGCTTAAAATAACTGGGGAAAACGCTTACATGTTATTTTGAAAGAAAAGGTAAAAGTTTAGTTAAGCTCCCAGCTCTGCCCTGGGCTTGGTCAACTATTTTCTTTCATAAATTGGCTTGACTTTTCACTTCATTTATTCTCTGTGTTGTTTATATTGAGTTCAGTTTTAAATTATGCCCTTCATCTGTTCTCTCTGTTGGATCCCTTCTTTAAGAAATCCATACACAATTGCTACTTCAGCCGAAAATTACATCTAGGGTCATGTTTAATAAAGAATAACAAGTTTAATCCTTTGCTTTTTCCTTTACCAAAACCACCTTTACCACCAAAAGCCCCACAATTTCCATTGCTAGTTAGCCAATTTTTTAGGAAACCACAAAGCCAAACACTAATACCTGTTTTCTCAGGTTAATGACTCTATTAGCATCAAGTTCTTGCTTTGAGCTAAAGGTTTAGGCACAGGCTAAGCTCTCTTCTAATTGCACAAAATGTTTAAGCACTTTCTTTATTTTGTTGAGACTGAAGTTGAATTACATTGATCATATTCTTTAAATGCTTTATTGGCTGAAGATGGTTAAAAACTCTGACTCAAGGCATAGGTACCATACACTGATGCAAAGCTCCAGGGGACAGGTTTTGTCACTCACTGCCTACATTAACTTGAGTAAGTCATTAAAACTTCTCCAAACTAAATTCTGCCATCCATTGACAGCTCTGTCAATCTAGTAACTCCTGCAGAGTTAGGGGAAAACCAAGAATAATTTAGGCTTTTCTTTAAAATACTTTTCTACCACAAGGTAGGGACTTGACTGAGCTGCCAACATTTTGGCCGTTCAACAGACAAGTTCAGGCCACAGAGAGGGCAATAATTTCTTCAAACACAGCTGGGCTCCTTCCTAAACTTCACTTCCTTTGATTTCAGTGCAAATCAAGGCTCTCAGACACCTCAGAGCAGGAATCCAAGTCTCACTGTTGGGATTTTGAGGAACTCATGAACTGTTGCAGCAATGACACTTGCAGTAGTATCCTCACCCAGCTTTGGCAGCTGGTGTAGGACTAGAGCCAATGCAGACAAAATGAACAAGTGAATAAAACAGCAGAGAGATAACAATGAGGAAAAATACCTATTTTATAGATTCTGTGGATCTGATCCCTGCAGTGCAGTTGAAGGCCCCACAGAGGTACAAAATTATACACCACACGTGCCTGATAGTTCAGTTATCACAAAGCTTGTTGGGTCCATAAAAAATCCAGCCAAATATGCTTGATCCTTTGGCAAATGACCTCTTCTAAAGATGAATTCCCTTTTCTTCTCCCAGCTTTGATCTTCACCCAATGGATGATACTGCTCTTCACTAAGACCTCTTGACTGCTAACAGCTGTAGGGCTTTTACTAATTTCTCTTTGCCAACACAGTGGCTCTCAGAGGAACTGCCTTCTTCCTTCCCCCATTTCCCCTTCTGTACCCAAGGAGTAAGACAAAAGAGAAACTATGTGTAAAACTTTCCAGAAGGAAGGAAACCAATCCTTGTGAAAGCTTAGGACTATTTCTTGAAAGCACAACTGTACAGAGATAGCTGAGTCTGGGGGATACTAATGAGAATGGGATCCCTTGGCACTTACTGTCAGTACTCAAATGATGACATACATTAAAAAAAAACAACCAAAAAAACCACCCCAAAAAAACCCAAACCAAAAAGTCAGATTATGTGGCTTGCTGGCTCTACGCTGTAGCAATCCTTCCCTCCATGGCCAATTTAGCCCATTGGACTCAGGGGTGACCCAGCACATCATCTTCACTGACAAGGTGTCATCTGTATCATAGAGAGCAGCCGGAGGGCAGAGATTAAGACACTGAGTCGCTGGCTGCTTGTGGTTGCTGCCAGAGCATCCTCTCTCTCAATTTGTGCCAATTTTTCTTCTAATAACCTAACTACCATTCCATCATTTCAGCAAGCTGACAGGGCCACTCTTGAGGAGCTAGAGATTGTTTTAATATCCCTGCTGCTTCAGCAGGAGCACTGGAAAAACCTAGTAGATGCCCTCTTGATCTCCCCCATTCATATATTTAATTACTGCAGGACTGCTAAAAGTGAACTGCCCACTCAGGACAGAGATGTACCGTTTAGAAACAATGTCTGAATAAAAACAGACTCTCTTAAATTCATCACTGTTAAGAGCTTTGGCATTAATCCACGTTCATTTCCATTAATGATCCCAGTGTCAAGTCAGGTGCTGAAAAACAGCTGTTAACGGGGACCAAATGGATTTATATGACACCTGTTTGTCAAATCTGTTTTTAAACCTACCCAGAACCTTCATACTGTTATTTTTTGGTTAATTCATATTGCAACCCTAACGCTAATATTGTGGTTTTACCATTTTTGCTGGGGATTTGCCTTTTTCATGTTCCATGGTATAATAAGATATTTGAATTCCCTCTAAGAGCCAACAGAACAAGAACATGACAACAAACGAGTTCCAAGTGTAATGACAACTAAATCCAACCCAGTGGAGAGGTATTTATAGGCATGAAGGTTTCACAGTAATAAAGCATTTACATCTGAGCTGTGGCATCACTGCCAGGATATCACACAGACTGACAAAAGGGACAACACCCGTTTGAAGGCTTCTGACTGCTGTCAAGAGAGACAGCCAAGCATCACCTTACTGTACTCCAAAGATCATAATTGCTGGTTTACGAGCAAATTTTATCTAGAAGGACCCAAAAGGGCTTTATAAACTCATTGTTTGGAGAGGAATGACTTCATCGTAAGGTGACAGACGGCAGCTGTTTAATGACATGGAGCATTATCACACAACAATTTCAGCCAGGAAGGGTAGAACAATACCGTACCCAATTGAAAACTGCAGGGGGCTGCAATTTATAGACACAGAAG